ATACACGTAACTGTCACCAGTTGTGTCATACACGTAACTGTCACCAGTTGTGTTATACACGTAACTGTCACCAGTTGTGTCATATATGTAACCGTCACCAGTTGTGTCATACACGTAACTGTCACCAGTTGTGTCATACACGTAACTGTCACCAGTTGTGTCATACACGTAACTGTCACCAGTTGTGTCATACACGTAACTGTCACCAGTTGTGTCATACACGTAACTGTCACCAGTTGTGTCATACACGTAACTGTCACCAGTTGTGTCATACACGTAACTGTCACCAGTTGTGCCATACACGTAACTGTCACCAGTTGTGTCATACACGTAACATGTTACCAGTTTTGTCACACATGTCACACAAGATGTATAGCGACTTTACATCAATGTAGATAAGCGAAGAATTTACTTTTATCCCTATTTTATAAAACGAAGTAATCCTGAATGATGGTAACCAGGTTGTGCTGTCTTAATGACCCTCGTGTAACAGATAGGCTTTAAACCCGACTAATCAACTATTATGTCATACATATCACACACGCATGAGGCTATATTCACTGATAGCTTATTCTAATCCCTAAAATAGGGATTACAGCATTCTTGAATGATGGTAAGCAGGTTGCATGTAGCTTTAATGACTCCCGTGTAGTCGACAGGATTGAAACCCAGTTAACCATGTAACTAGCCTGTTATATATGCCTATTTATAGGTTACTATCTCTGGCATACATATGTATGTATATATATATATATATATATATATATATATATATATATATATATATATATATCACAAGCCTCTCATACACATCACACATAACCAGACAAAATGTTACCTGACGATATGTCTTCCAAAGAAAGATTGTGATGCAAAAATTGTGCTTTTTTTAATAAAAATAATAGATATAATGTAAAATAAACCGAAATGGGATAACAAAACTAAAACAAATAATAAATTATAAAATCTAAAGAATTTATATGGAAAAAAAGCAAATATAATAATAAATATTAAGACATTCTAATGGAGGAAAAGTTACAGAATAATGACTAACTCAAAAAAACAATTATATATATATATATATATATATATATATATATATATATATATATATATATATGTATATATATATATATATATATATATATATATATATATATATATATATATATATATATATATATATATATATATATACGTATGTATATATATATATATATATATATATATATATATATATATATATATATATATAATATATATATATATATATATATATATATATATATATATAATATATATATAATCACGAAAATTATCAGATTATGCTTGGATTATGTTCAGATATATGACGATATAATGAAAGCTTACAATTAATAACATACAATCGTAAAACAGAAATGATATAATTAATGCGACACGACGCTCTTATTGTTGTAACTATGAAATTCGTGGTAACGTAGGTTAGATTAAATTAAATAATTACATATATATGTATTTTTTTCTTTGCACTCTAGAAATACGACCAATACCAGTAGTAAAGGAACAATTCACAACTAACACACAATACCATGACTGGAACAATTAAAAAGTAGCTCACAATACCGTGGCTGGAACAATTCTCAGCTAACCCACAATACCGTGGCTGGAACAATTCTCAGCTAACCCACAATACCGTGGCTGGAACAATTCTCAGTTAACCCACAATACCGTGGCTGGAATAATTCTCAGCTAACCCACAATACCGTGGCTGGAACAATTCTCAGCTAACCCACAATACCGTGGCTGGAACAATTCTCAGCTAACCCACAATACCGTGGCTGGAACAATTCTCAACTAATCCGCAAAGTGGACTAGAGTTATTAATATTATATTCACGTGAGGAGATAAAACCATGTTGGTTCTTTGGCACAAGACTGTGGTTGAGGCTTGATCCTCCGTTTGCTTGGCGGAAAACGCATGTGCTTTCTGGTTCTATTTACCTAGATATTCCCCACAACTTGGAAATTAAACCAGAGGACGTTTCGGTCCCTCATTGGCCATTATCAAGTCTCAAATGACTTAGAAACGGTCCAGGGTGGACCTAAACGTCGTGTCCATTCAGATGTTAGCTGTGAATAAGGCTTAATATGTGGGCACCAAGGCTGATAAATACAAACATTCATCTAACATCGACGGCAACATTTCCAACATCACTCCGAGTGCAACAAACGAATAAAAATAACCACTTTCGAGCCTAGCTGACTTCTGTTTACACATCCAATGAGCATCAATCCAAATTGTGGCAATTGACGCTGTTATTCCCAGAGAGTAATTGGATTTTAACTAGTTGAACTAATACTCATACTGTTTAATAGTTTTATCTGACATATAAATGGGTTAGTGTCGCGATATTACCAGTAATTATTAATATTGTTGTTGTTGTTTGCGTTGTTTGGTGTAAAATAATTGTTGGTGTCAGTAACGTAAGATAAATTTGCTTGATGTATAACGATATGAA